TTTGAAGTGTCATGTTTATTCCAAAAGACAAACTCAGACAACAATGGATTTAAAAATACATAAGGCAAACATCTCTAAAACCCATGTATTTTTATCAAACTATGTGGACTCTTCCAGATCCTTAGCATAACAGGGCATGCTGCAAGGTGTCCCAAAGTGTCCAGCCCTCCCTCCATGCCCCTCAGACAACAGGATCTGTCTCTAACTCTTGAGAATGGCTTGGGCACTTGTTTTGGCCAACAGGCTGTGTGCAGAAGCTGGTGTGTTTGTTCCCATGCCAAGCCTTCAGAGATCCCCTCCTGCACCCCTCCCCACCTCTCCCCTATCTTTTCTCCAGCCCACCCCTTCCCCTTCCCTGCTTTCCATCCCATCAAGACGGATCCCCCAGCTCCCCTCTCACCTCCACCCACCCCCACACCTGTCCCCCATCCCCCCGTCCCCCTCCCTGGGTAGGAAGAGCTGCTGCCTGCTGCGAAGGGGCACATCTCCCCACAGAGGACCAAGACCCATAGGGTTAGTCTATGCTAAGAACAGCGCCTGCCCCTAGGAGGGACCTGGGAAGGCCTGATGCTGCTCCAGGTTGTAGCTGTTGTCCTTACAGGTTTTAGGAGGAAGGATCCACTTTAAAAACCAGTGTAAAGTGTAGAACAAGCTTAGTACCTATAATAAAAATAGCAAAGTTGACGTACACCTGTAATCCCAGCTTCCTGGGAGGCTGAGGCAGGAGGATCCCAAGTTTGAGCCCAGCCTGGACAACTTAGTGACTTCGCAGCACCCTGATGTAAAAAAAATTAAAAAATAAAAAAAGATGGGGATGTATCTCAGTGTGAATCTCCAAAACAAAACAAAATTTAAAAACAAAACCTGTGTGTTGCATCCCTGCCCAGCTCTGTGTGGGGGCAATGAAGGAGCATCTAAAACCTGGCAAGGCAAGGTTTACTGGCCCAATGTCCACTTAAGCCCCCCACCCCCCTTCAGACTGCAGATACCAGCGTAAGGCTAAGTCCTTTTCTCGATCACAGGGGCATCCCAATGCCAGCTCACGAAGTCGTGTTGGAGACACCCTGGAGCAACACCCAGAATTGTGCCTTTCGGTTCTGCCGATCCGCGGCCTGAGAGGCAGTCATGGCGCCTCTTATCAGCCGGAACGGCATGATTCTGAGGGCCACTTCCACAAGGACTGGCAGCGGCGTGTGGCTACGAGGTTCAATCAGCCAGCTCGGAAGATCTGCAGGCGCAAGGCCCGGCAGGCCTGAGCGCGCCACATCGCCCCGCGCCGCGTCCGGGCCCATCCGGCCCATCGTGCGCTGCCCCACCGTGCGCTACCACACCAAGGTCCGAGCCGGCAGGGGCTTCAGTCTGGAGGAGCTGCGGGTGGCCAGTATTCACAAGAAGGTGGCCCGGACCATTGGCATCTCGGTGGACCCGAGGCGGCGGAACAAATCCACCGAGTCCCTGCAGGCCAACGTGCAGCGGCTGAAAGAGCACCGCTCCAAGCTCATCCTCTTCCCCAGGAAGCCTTGGGCCCCCAAAGGGAGACAGCTCTGCTGAAGAACTCAAGTTGGCCGCCCAGCCGACAGGACCTGCGATGCCCATCGGGAACGTCTACAAGAAGGAGAAGGCCAGGGCAATCACAGAGGAGGAAAAGAACTTCAAGGTGTTTGCCAGTCTGCACATGGCCTGAGCCAACGCCCGGCTCTTTGGCATCCGGGCGAAGAGAGCCAAGGAAGCCGCAGAGCAGGGTGTTGAGAAGAAAAAATAAAACACTGCTGGGATCTTGTAATAAATGCTCAGAAAAGCTACAACTGCCCTTGGGGTGGGGGGAAGACCTAGATCGTACAGTCCTCGCTTTAAACCTGTGGCTTCCTGGGTTCAGGAAACAGGGAAAGCTCAGGGTGGAGCCTAGGCTGCCTGCAGAAGCCCTCATCCCTCTTTTCCCCCCTTCCTTTTCTCCTCCCCTCCCTCTCCCTACTCCCTCTTTACCCTCCCCCTCCCTCTGTCCCCTGCCCCCCCCCCCAGCTTTGCCCTTTTTCTCTCCCGGCACTGCCTCCTGCCCCGCCCTCCCTCCAAGCCCCGCCCACCTTTCTCCTTCCTCCCCTCCCCCTCCTCTTGCTGCTCTTCCTCCTTCCCTCCCTCTGGCTCTACAGACTGGGAGGAGCCGGAGGGAGGTCGGTGGGGCCTCACAGACAAGGTGCAGGGCTTCCCGGAGGCCCTCAGTGGGTGCAGGATAGGGTGGGCGCAGGCCCCAAGCTGTTCAGTTTCAGGCTTCCTGCTCACACCTTGGTTTCCCTGTTGGGTTTCCTCATTTGGCTGGATCATGACCCCTGGGTACCTCGGTTTCTCTACAGGTGTAGGTACCACCAGCTCTGTCCTGGCTCTGATGTGGCCAGCACTGACTGGGGTTCTGATGGCCAGCAGCCAGCAGCCAGCCGGTTCACCACCTCCACTTTACAGAGGGGGAAACAGAGGCACTTAGAGTCTGTGTGTTGTCAGCAGGGGTGTGGATGGAGAGGACCTTCGTCCATGGTCACAAAGGGACCTCACCGCCCAGGCTGGGTGGATCTTGGCACCTAAAGCTGCATGGACAGAAATCCTCATAGAGACACCATGAAGGACACACAGGCCTGGTCACAGGTGGCACTGGGCCACTGGGCCTCCAGGCTGTCTCCCTTCTTCCCAGGCCTGGGCTGCTTGTCACACAGCCTCACTCTCACTACCTCACCCACCCGCCTCACTCTCATTTCCAAGAGAGGAAGCTGAATCACAGAGTGAAACAGCAGGCACAGGGGTCCCCCAGCTGGTCCAAACTCTCGGCCTTGGCCTCACCTGTAGCCAACTACTCTGCGCAACTGTGCAGCTGTCGCCCTCCCCATCTGTAATCCCCGAGGCCTCCACATCCTCCACCCGCACCTGGCCTTCTGTTCTGCAGCTCTGGTGTGGATGTGACTGCTGCGGGGACATGCAGTGCCCACAGATGGGCCGCAGAACTCCAGGCTCTGTGCTCACCTCTGCCCCACCATACGCCATGGGCTCCCACCGGCCCCACCTTGTGGAGGACCACCTGAGCAGCTCTCCTTGAAAGAAGAGCGACTGTCTCCATTTTGGCTGAGCCTGACCCTATTTCCTCGGATTGTTCTGCACAGAGCTGGCCAGGACTTCTGCTTATCCTTCAGTTGGCCTTAAGGATGCGTATTGGTCTAGCTGAGGTGCTGGTGATAGTCTGTGAAGGTGGCGTGCGCGTTTCCCTGGTAACCTACACCTGCTGCTCTTTAATGTGAGCGGGGTGGAGACAGGATGGTAGAGCTAATGCTCCGCAGCGCCAGCTGGGATCGAGCCTCAGGACAGAGGCCATGACTTCCTGGGGCTTGAAAGGCTACACCAGAGCTGAAGCACCAGACTTCCCAAAACATTAGACACTATTTAATGCAGATTACTCTCTCTACATATCCTCTGCATAGGGCAGAGGTAAATTTAGGCCACCCACCTAGCTCAGCTCTTAGTAGTCTGTTTCCCACAGTTCTCAGTCAATCCTCAAGCCATTCCCCCACTGAATAAACCTGGGTGAGGCCCTGGGTCACTCTCTTGGTTCTGGAAGGCCATCTTCGTGGCTGGACTTAGAGCCCCTTGACTCCCTGATGATTGAAGATATAATTTAGTGTCTTTATTTTCGCCGTGGGTTGCATTGTAAGTGGTAGATTGGAATCAATTTGATGGGATTCCAATAGCGTAACTTTGGAATTACAAATATTGGCTTCTTGGATCGAGACAAGGACCTGGAATGTCTCCTACACCACCTCCCCTTGGGAAAGTGTGACAAGAGAGGTGGGCTCCTCTCGAAGGCAAGAGAATGTCCTGTGGGGAGACCCCACCTTCCCGATGGATGAACAGCCCTCGACGCTAACCTCTGGGCACCACCAACTGGCTGATGGCATCTTCCCCGCTGCCCAGGTGGATGGACCCCTGGACATCCAGCAGGCGGGGGTTCAGGAAACCCCACCCCCTTGTCAGTTACCTTTCTGGGGATAAGGACTGCACAGTGACTGATGGGTGGGAGAACCCAGCGGGAGGAAGCCTAAGGCTTTCCCCATATGACTGGAAGTGGTTTTGTCCTTTAGGGTGTGACTGAGAAAATGCAGTCTACTGAAGCCACTGCCACACAAAACCAGGTGAAGACACTGCCCTGGGAAGCGGAGACCCGCAGAGAACCAGAGCTGGCCTGCGGTTCCGGTGGCACGCCGAGTGTCTGCACAAACCTGCCTGGTACCCGAGGCACTGTCAGTGCACACACCAGAAGGGGCGCTTTCCCATTTGCCGCACAAGGCGTGCTGGGCGATACAAGTGATTTTGGAAAATGAATTATCCATTCCTTCTACTTACCAGCGTCACAGTGTGGAACACAGAAACGCCAAAATATTTGCAAGCAACAGCATCAAAACAGGAGTGGCCTGCAAAGCCCCAGAGAAGGTGGCGAACAGCGGCGTCCCCGCCTAAGCAAGGCTGCCTTGTAAGCAAGGCTGAGTCAGCCTAGGGAACACCTCATGGTAGGGACACACTGAGGGGCTGGTGTCCCCAGAAGACACTGAGGACCCGGACCTTCATGAGGGGCTGAGGGAGGGAGCTGCCTTGTCCCTGCCACTCGAGGACACGGAGGCCCTGGCCTGGAGCACTGTGGGCATCGAGCGTGCAGAACGTGGAGCGACACCCTGGGGCTGACTCACCAGGCCCATAGGGCCTTGTCTCAGCAGCACAAGTAAGGAGCAGCCACCTTCGGGCTGGCGCAAGCACAACCCCAGGAAGACCGGGTCATCAGCCACCACGCCTGCTGAGGCCACCCTCTCCCCTCACCCGAGGCTGACGTGGACCCGATCACCACCTGTATCCACAGCCTGCACATGTAAAAAAACCTGTTTTAATGACATTGGTCTCCATCGTTTCTCTTCAAAAATCGTAACACATTGTTCTAAGAAACTTTGGCACTTGAAGCAAGTATTGTTACATGCTAACTCTAAAAATGATTTTTTATTTTCCCTCTCCCAAACACCTTGCGAACTTCTACCACTACGTGGGTACTTGGTGGCTTTAGCGTTTGGTCTGAAGTGTCAGGTGGCTTCTGCCCCACGGGCCACTGGGGGTGGCACCCCTCGGGGCTGGGGCATGCTCACCCAAGTCCCACCCTGCGCCCTGCAGACCTGGGCTTGCCAGCCGCTAAGCGGCCACCTGGACTCCAGCTATGCTGGCTTGGCTGTGGGAACCTGGGATGCCCGCTCCAGCGAGGCGGTGCCCACTTCCTAGCACTCGGGGCCGCTCTTGCACCGGGCAGCCCGCGCAGGCTCAGGCGCGGGTCCGTAGGTGGCGCGTGAGGTTGGTGCCGCTGCTGAAGGCTCTCCCGCACCGCGCACAGCCGTAGGGCTTCTCCCCGGTGTGCACACGCCGGTGCACCGTCAGCGACAAGTTCTTCAGGAAGCTGGGGTCGCACTGTGCGCAGCGGAAGGGCTTCTCGCCGGTGTGGACGCGCTGGTGCTCGATCAAGTACGCGCTCTGTCTGAAGGCCTTGCCGCCCTCGGCGCAGTGGAAAGGCCGCTCGCCCGTGTAAGCAGCCTGGTGCACCACGAGCGAAGAACGCCCAGCGAAGCGCTTCCTGCACTCGGGACACTCGTAGGGCTTCTTGCCGGTGTGAGTGCGCCGGTGCTGCGTCAGAGCCGAGCTCTTGCAGAAGGCCTTGTCACGTGCCGCACAGGAAGGGCCGCTTGCCCAAGTGCGCGGGCCGGTGCTGCAGCAGGTAGGCGCGCTGGCTGAAGGCGCGGCCGCAAGCCCCGCAGGAGAAGGGGCGCTCGCCCGTGTGTGTGCACCGGTGCACCGCCAGCGAGGAGGGCTTGCGGAAGGCGCGGCCGCAGTCCGAGCAGTTGAAGGGCCGCTTGCCTGTGTGCGTGCGCCGGTGCTCGGTGAGGTGCATGTTCTGAGGGAAGGCGCGGCCGCAGTCCGCGCACACGTAGGGCTGTTCCTCTATGTGCGTGCGCCGCTGCACCACCAGGTGCATGCTCTGGCGGAAGGCGCGGCCGTAGTTGCCACACGCACCAGGCCTCTCGCCCGTGTGCATGCGTGTGTGCTGTGTGAGCGAGGAAGTCTTGCAGAAGGCCTTGCCGCGGTCTTCGCACGCATATGGGCACTCCCTGGTGTGTGTGCGCCGGTGCACCACGAAGTTCACGCACTGGCTGAAGGCCTTGCCGCAGGCCACGCACGCAAACCGCTTCTGGCCCGTGTGTACGCGCTCGTGCACGGCAAGCGTGGCGTGCTCCAGAAAGGGTTTCCCGCGGTCTGCGGGGTGGAAGGGCCTCTTCTCCTGCCGTGCATCCTGCAGTGCTTCGTTAGCGCCGTACCCTGCCTGCAGACATTCCGGCACTGGGGGTAGGCACCGGGCATGTGGCTGGGTTCTGCAGACGCCTGCGGGGGCCCGAGACGCTTGTGTACTGGGCTCCCTGCCCCCGTGGGGTACTGGCCATCCGGCACACCATCCTTCTCATCCGACTCCTTCATTTCAACTGCAGCCAGCCAGTCTGGGAAAAGAAAACGGATGGCAGTGGGCGGTAGAGGTGAGGAGAGCGCGCTACGGACGCGATTGCACGGACACGCGCGGGCGGGCAGCAGGACTGGAGACGAGGAAGGGGCCCTGGGGAGCGCGAGGGGCGGCTGCCAGCTCAGGAGACTGCAGCAGCGAGCGCCAAGGTGCCGCAAGGGCCGTGGGAGTGACCGCCGCAGGCGGGTCACCTAGGGCCTTTCTCTCTCGGGTCACCCTGAATTCCCGGGCCTGCTCGGTTCTTACAGATAACAGGAAGGCAGCAGCCACCAATAACACGGCAAGCACTGGCGGCCTGCTCCGACCCCCAGCTGTTCGGCCGGCACCCTGGGGCCCCGGACACAGCAGGTGGAGCTCCTCAGGGGCACTTTCCCTGTACCTCCCGCTGCTCTAGACCCCACCGCATTGTGCTCACTGCCAGGACCTTCCTGCCCCCGCAAGCCTGAAAGCAGTGGTGCCAACGACCGACCACAGTCTGAATCTCTGAAACTGTGAGCCGTGCGGAACCCTCTTCCCTCCCTTCGATTGCTCAAGCTGCTCTGTCACGCACACAGCCAGAAGGCTCAGAGCGCAGCTCTCTGCCCCTCCGTGCAACCCCAGCGCTGTACCCGTGGCTCTGCGCTCCTCCCCAAACCTCTTGCTCCTTCCTGTTCTTTCTTTGTAAGGTCTGGCAAGAAAGCAGCAGGACCTGACACACACCCACGGTCACAGCAGCACGCACACGAAGCTCGAGGCGGAAGTGCCTCAGTGTGCACACACGGATGGACACAGGATGTGCAGTCCACGCAGGGCTCCGTGATTCAGCCCCAGGCGGGAAGGGTGTCCCACACAGGCAACCCACGCAGAAGCCCTGGGGATGTTATGTTGAGGTAAGCTAGCCAGTCACGAAACGCCACCTCTTTCCACTTAGGGACCTGGGGTAGTCAGATCAGTCAGACAGGGGACTGCTGTGTGCCGGGATGAGCACGGGAAAATGGCCACCATGGGAAATTTTGTTATGAGCACTTGCAGGGTTTTTCTTTTGAGGCCGCAGCTCACTATGTGTTCAAGCTGGCCTCGCAACCCTCCTGCCTCAGCCTCCTGCGCACTACCACACTCGGCTTGCATTCGTGTACCCTGCACAACACAAGACAGCACGCTAAGAAAATAGTCTTGCTCCCTCTAGGGGGTGCCCTGTTATGGGGAGTCCTGTGGAGCAACACATCTGACCAGTGCCTTAGGAAAGTGCCCCACCTGCAGGAGGCGGGAGGAGGGAAACCCTGTCCCCCATCGCGTCTCACAGGGGTGCACACCTGCCCTCCAAGGAATGAGGGTTAGACGAGGCTCTGCGTGGGGCAGGAGGATGAGGGCGGGAGAAGGGGCGATAACTGGGTCACGGGGCACAAGCTGGCTGGGTGCGCCTGGCCGGAGCAGACGGCCCTCTGACTAGGGAAGGGGCACCGCCAGAGCAAATGCACACACACAGAGGCACGGGGGACGTGCAGAGACTGGGAGATGCCCACTCGACCATACACTACTACTTGAAGCACCGAGGTAACGGCGGGACCCGGAGGCACCTACACGCAGAAATGCCAGGGCAGACTGCGACACACATGTGCCAGGACAGAGCACCCGTGCCACCGCCCTCGCAAAGATGCCGCGGAAGCTCTAGACGGCACCTAGAGCACGGATCCAGACCCCGACAGCTCAGCACCTCACGCCCTCCTCCCTGCCAATCGCCTCCTGGTTCCCCGAAAGCCCTCTGCGCACGCAGCCACACCTATGGCAGCTGCAGCTGGGACCTCGCCCCACCGCCCTGCAGGACCGGGCCGAGCACTTGTGTGCGCCTGCGCGGACTCTCGGACTTCGCCTCCCAGAAGGCCGCGCGCCGCCCCCGCCCCGCCAGGTTTTTCTCGAGTGCAGATGGACCAACCTGAGCCTAGACAAACTCGGAATACAAGCAACCGGGCCTCTTTCTCCCAGAGGTGTCTGTCTGAAGGAGCCAGGTAGAGCAAAAGGATGGAGGAATGATGAGAAAAAGAGGTGGGAGTCGGTAAGACAAGAAAACTAGGGTAGGAGCGGAGGAAGGACTGGATGGATGGATGGATGGATGGATGGACGGATGGCGGGCGGTAGCAAAACGGGTACATGTGGAACAGCAAAGATAGAAGGGAAAGGAGCAAAAAGAAAAAATAGGTTGGAAGAATCATAAAGAAGAAAGCATCGTAACCTTGAGGAAACTGTGGGAGGTGGGAGGAGGTAGAGCTGGCAAGGAGGGAGACAGGAAAAAGGAGGGAATGAAAGAAGAGTGGATGGGGAAGAGGCAGGGGATGGGGGAGAGCGGTACCAGCCAGGCCGGCTGTGCCGCGGACTGGACGGACAGAGGCTGCGGGTTGGACCGTCCAAATATTGAGACATTTGCAAACCTTACAGAGACGAACACAAGCACAGTCGGGGTCAAATAAAATGTCCGGCAAACCACGGTCAGGTTTTTTGTACTAAGTTCCTACACCACCAAGACAAAACCAAGTTATTTCTCTGACCTTGCAGGAAGTCGAGAGAGAACAGCAAGATCCACACACAGGCCTGTTCTGCTGGTACAAGAAATGAGGAATCTCTTCTTCATTGACCTCTACCAGGAAAGTAGCTTCAAATTCCAGGCAGCCGCTTGCTTTCCTTGGGCTTCCCGGCGGCAGGCTGTTTCCTGGCCCAAGCTCACTGGGCCCTGGCTGTATTTCGCCCAGTGAAGTGCCAGTGAAAGCCGATTAGGCCTCTGATATCTACATTTCGTGTAACTTTTGTCCTTTCACAAATTAAGCCTCATTATTCTATTTCCTACGTGCCAGCATTGCTTGCTGGCGTCTTTCGACTTAGGAATTGGCTGGGCCCTGCTAAGGCAGCTACTTTCCAGGTAAGGATAGTGGAGGGGACAGGAAGGGCCACGCTGGTGGGAGACGCAAGCCCCTGGCTGGGTCCTCGCCCACGACACACTGCAGAGGCAGTGGTAGAACGTGCCAGGAAGCACAGGACTGCAAACGCCACCAGGCCTCAGGGGACTGTTTTTAAAGTAAAATACTGGGCCAGGGAGATGGCTCAGTAGAATATGCGCTTCCATGGCAAGCACAAGGGCCTGAGTTCAATCCTCGGTTCCAAAAAACAAACAAAAAAACCCATAAAATACTGTGATAAACGTAGATTTACTCACATGAATTATAGAATGCAGTACAGAACTCAGATATCTGCACCCTTTACCTAGTGCTCCTCACATTGCAGTATCCCAACTAGGATATCAACAGTGATCCTGTCAAAATACAGAGCTTTAATGGTGAACCTTTCAGAGACCAAATACCCAGACTACACCCAAAACACTTATCAAAAAGTGCTAACTCTACAATTAACCTGGAATACTGAGGCTTTAGTTTAGAAAAAACAACATGGCGAGTTGGCAAGAGTCTTCCAGAGAGGGCAGCTGGCCTGCTGCCATGTGGACCACAGGTTCACCATCACGGATACACAGCATTTCTGTCCTCAAGGACCCCTCGTGCTGCCCTCCAAGGGCCACATCCACGTCCAACCAGATCGCATCCCTAACCTGCCCTCCACATGTAGTTTGTCATTTCAAAAGTGCTTACAATTGTTTGTAGCATTTGTCTGGTCCCTTCAGCCATGGAGCATAATTCTCGGGAGATACCTACAGGGTTTGTTATCTGCCATTTATTTTAATGTGGCATTGTATTCTATGACTGTGCCACAACCTGTGTACTAAATGGACCGCTTCCTAGTGTAGGTCTATTACAGTTCGTGTGTGCACCACATGAAACAGACATGCACAAGAACTACAGCTATAATGTAGGCTTTCTCTAGGACTTAGTCACTTTGCATGACAGCTTTTATCTGTTAAGCAGCACCTCCCCTTTTCCTACTTGTGTAGGTCTGACTCTTCTTAGACTTCACACTTAAGTGGAACCATGCAGCATTTGTTCTTTTGTGACTTTTCCTTAGTATCATCTCCCCAGGTTTCATCAATTGTAGCAACAGCATTGCCTTCTATGCTAAAATAAATTTCCAGTTGAGGTGTATTACAAACACATGAAACCAGGCCGGCCAGACAGCTCAGCGGACTAAAGCACCTGCTCGGGCAGAGTGCAGGTGCCAGGGTTCGATCCCTGGCACCACAAGCCGGCCCCACCCCTGGGATGCGCTGAGATGGCAATTGAGACTGGACAAGGTGGCATGTGGTTGTAATTCCAGCGCTTGGGAGGCTGAAAACAGGAGAACCTCTAAGTCTGTTCTGTGTAGTGAGACACTGCAGACCCTGTACTAAGTACAATAAAGAACACATGAAATTTACCTTCCTAAAGAACCTGTAAGTTTCATTATTGATGTACTTTTTCCCCCACTGTACCTGTAATACTGTTTCATTTGTACCTTGCTCTATCTCCACACCTAAAAACATACCTAAAACATTAGCAAACATTTTTAACATCCCAATGTAAGCCACATCTGTTGCTGTCATTACAGATATGTAGACAGTCAGAAACACTGTCAGGCAGGCGTTTGTGCCACTGAGCCATCTCCCCAGCCCTCAGACTGTCAATGAAAAACTGTATTGGGCTTGCTGTATGACTCATGACAGATCTCTGAGGATGAGGTTCAGGAAAAACCAAGAAGAGTATGCTTTACCTTGCATATCAGCAAACGGATTGCAATACCTGGCGGGATACTGCCAGGGACAGAACAATCCCGTTTGTTTTGTCAGAACAGTTTTAAGACACCAGAGGAGGAAATCTTGTGTAAAGTCTTAAGATAACTGCAATATTTGACTGATCAGGATCTCATGACTTAGAGGGCTTCTTGTATACTGCCCTTGGTCAATGATTTGTACTTTCTAAGCTTTTTTTTTTTTCTTTCCTTTTTTGGCAGAACCGGGGATTGAACGCAGGCCCTTGAACTTGCCAGGCAAGTGCTTATTCTACTGAGCTATCTCCCAGCCCCAAGCTTTTCAATAAATATGCTGCAGTTGCTTAGTTTGGGGTTCAGACAGACAAGACTTCTGAGACCCCGCAGCTGATTACATCCAGCCTTGCTGTTCTCTTGGCTCCGATCGATCTGCAACAGGGTCTTTTTCTGGAGCATCAACAAACCTACATATGTAACAGAGAAACATCTTCATTCAACTATTTCTAACTGAGGCACATGTCTAGCCTTCTTACAATAGTTTTAAAATGAGTCCAATCTTAAGATCTAAATACAAAGTCAATTACAACTTTTTTTGGCGTGTGTGTTGTTTTAGGGAAGGTTCTATGGGGTGTTCAGGGTCTACTAGATCGGACTCAGTGATTCTCCCGTTTACAGCCTCCCAAGAGCTAGGATTACAGGCATGCACCACCACGCCCAGTCTCAATTGCTGTCACAGTGCGCTCTAAGGGCAGGGCCGGCATGGAGGCCAGGGGATCAAACCCCTGGCCCCTCCACTAAGCTATTTGGCAGACCCTGCAATGTTTTCCTGTTTTGGTTGTCTTGTCAACTTCAGGGAACAAGATGTGAATTCATACTGCATTTTTTCAACAGGCTAGAATGATTCGAACCTCACAAAAATTGTCTATAGTGTTTTGAAGTGTTTACATCCTTTTGCATTCTCTACGTAGGTATTCATCTACTGCAGTTTTCTAGTAGTGTTCTACTACTACCCCCTGGCTAGTTGCTCATTTTACCCAAAGATTTTATCCTGATTGGTGTGCTAAGTGTCAGCTGTGGTGGGCACTCAATGGTACTACCTGTGTCCTTGCAGAAGGGATGACTCCATGTATCTTGGGCATCATCAATCTTCCCCCCACCCCCCACTTTGGTACTGGAGATTGAACTCAGGACCTTGTGCTTGCCAGGCACATACTTATGCCGCTGGGCTACATTCCCAGCCCATCATCCATTAACCTTTTCTATCCACTGAGAGTCTTGTGTGTGCTCCAAAACTGTAAGTTTCTTAGATTTGACCTACTGACTATTTTTTCTTAGACCTACAGGTCTAAGGGAACCTCAACTTTATTTTCTTTGGTTCCAGGGATTGAACTCAGAACCATGAACTTGTCAGGCAGACACTTATGCCACTGAACTATCTCCCAGTGGGAACCTCGACCTTAACAGCTATTTTCACTAGCTGTATACCTGAGATTGTGTGCCAAGTCCTTAAAACATAATATATATATAATTTCAAAGCTAATGTTTTAAACTGAAAGCTATAAAGATATATTTTTATTTTTAAAGATTTGGCTACTGCGTCAAAACGCACTTGAGAAAAACAAGAGGGACAAAGTTGGTATGGCAGAAATCCAAATGAGATGGCTGTCTTGAAATATGATAGGACGAAGACTGGTAAAAAATAAATTCTAGAGGCATTTGGAATGTAGAGGATTTGGTGGTATGAGTGAGCAGGGAGTAACAGGATGATTCTACAGTATGAAATTGCTGATGGTGAGCAAGATGTACACTCTGCCAAAGACTTTTCCACACTCTTGACACTCATAGGGTCTTTCTCCTGTATGAATTCTCTTATGAAATGTAAGATGAGTGCTTGCTTCGGCAGCACATATACTAAAATTGGAATGAAGTGTAAGATGAGTGATCTGCCAAAGGACTTACTACATTCCTTACACTCATAAGATTTCTCTCCTGTATGAATTCTCTGATGTAGAGTAAGAGACTTACAGTTGGTGAAGGCTTTATCACATATACTACAGTCATAAGACTTCTTACCACTATGACACCTCTGATGACAAATCAGGGATGCCCTCTGTCTGAATGCCTTCTTGCATTCAAGACACATGGTCTTTGCCAGTGGGGAGTCTCTGATGTTGAACAAGGCATGAGTCGCCACTAAAGGCCTTCCCCCACTCAATACACTCAAGGCTTTTTGCCACTATGCGCTCTCCGGTGCCGAGCAAGGTGTGCAACCTGGCTGAAAGTCTTACCACATTCCTGGCACTCATAAGGTTTCTCTCCACTGTGTACTTTCCGGTGCTGCACAAGGTGTGCACTCTGACTGAAGGTTTTGCTGCATTCCTTACATTCATAAGGCCTCTCTCCTGTGTGAATTCTGTGATGATGAGCAAGGTGTGTTCTTTGCCGAAAAGCTTTCCCACATTCCTTACATTCATAGGGTTTCTCTCCAGTATGAACTCTTTGATGAAGAGTAAGTGAGCCACGGTGACTAAAGGCTTTCTTACAAATATTACACCCGTAAGGCTTCTCTCCTGTATGAATTCTCTGATGCACAATCAAGGAGGAGCCACGGCTAAAAGCCTTCTCACACATACTACATTTGTAAGGTTTCTCTCCAGTGTGAATTCGCTTATGCTGGATAAGTCCTATGTGGTCAATAAAAGCTTTCCCACAGTCAACGCAATCAAAAGGTTTCTCTCCAGTATGACAGTATCGCCGATGACGTGTGAGGGCAGCATTCTGTCTGAAAGCTTTTCTACAGTCGATACATTCATAGGGTCTTGTCCCAGTGTGGATCCTACGATGATGAGCTAGGGATGAGCAGTTGCTAAAAGCCTTCCCACACTCACCGCATTCATAGGGTTTCTCTCCAGTGTGAACTCTCTGATGTTGAGCAAGGTGTGTAAGCTGCTTGAAGGCTTTATCACACTGCTTGCACCGATAAGGCTTTTCCCCAGTGTGAACTCTCTGGTGTTGAACGAGATGAGCGCTCTGGCTGAAGGCCTTTCCACATGCCTTACATCCAAAGGGTTTTTCTCCCGTGTGTATCCTCCGATGTTGCATGAGATGAGCGTTCTGGATGAAGGCCTTCCCACAGTCAACACATCCAAAGGGTTTCTCCCCAGTGTGAATTCTTTGATGAAGAGTAAGGGCTGAGATTTTGTTGAACGTTTTCTCACAGTCACTACATTTTAAAAGTTTCTTTTTTCCATAAACTTGCTTGCATTTTCTCACAACTGAATGTGTTTTCATATCTGTATCAAAATTATATATTCTCTCTTTCATGGGAAAAATCTGTTTTATATAAGATAATGTACTGAGATGAAAATCTGTCCCAGATTTGACAGAATAGTCTGTTTTCTCATTAAGGTTATCTACGTGAGGGATCATCTCTCGCTTCAAGTGTGTCTTCTGATTCACTGGTTCACTCGCCAACAAGTCCTCACATTCCCAGTTTTCCTTGAATGTGAAACTTTCAAGGTCACAGCTTATAGGTCCTTCCTCAGATAAATCTTCTTCATAAATGTCCTGGTTCAAAGAGAATTCCTTGGACGACCACATATACTCCAGGTCTGTAAGATATTTAGAAAGCAAATGTATCTTTCATCAAATATTAGACGAATGGGAATTTCCAAAATGAAACCATGCACATCTGTTACTAAAGGCCCCAAAAGGGATGTTTTTTGTAGTTCTTAAGTAAGTCTAGATGATAAAAGCATCCTTGCATTCCTTGTTTACCACAGTATATAACAGTATAGCAACGTATACTTAAGATTTTGCATCGATATTTGGAATTGAAATTTGTAGTTTCCTTTTGGGTATTTATTTTCATTAGATCTACCTTTTTAAATTCATTTATTTATACTTTTATTTCTACAGATACAAATTATAAAACATTTAGTTTGTTAAGAACATGCAATGGGAAATCATAACTATTTTTAAAAATTAAAAATAGTACTTAAAAACAGTAAAAGAAGGGCTGGCCAAATAGCTCAGTGGATTAAAGAGCCTGCTTAGGCAGATGCAGTGGCCGGGGTTCAATCCCTAGCGTACCGTGCTGGCCCTGCCCCTGGGGCACACTGAGATGGCAAATGAGACTGGGCATAGTGGTGCGTATCTGCAATCCAAGTGCTTGGGAGGCTGAAAACAGGCAGATCACTTCTAGTCTGATCTATACAGTGAGACCCTGTAGGCCCTTATTTAAAAATACAAAGAAGAAAAAAGTAAAAGATATATTGGCAAAAACAAGGGGATAAATATGTTTAAAGTAAGGGGGAGTATTTTGAAGGGATTCATGGCAATGTGCCTGTAACTGTAATAATTTTTTTTTCTTTTTTCTTTTTTTTCAGAACCGGGGATTGAACTCAGATCCTTGCATTTGCCAGTCAAGCGCTTATCCTACTGAGCCATCTCCCCGGCCCCTGTAATAATTTTTTTAATTTAAGCATTTACCATATTTGTAACATCCCATCATTGAAACAATGTTTACAGCAATTTATGTCAAAAGTATTGCGACGTGTCCTCAGTCACTTTATTCCCTGCAACTAGAACCCATACATCTATTGGCTCTCTCTCAAACTCAAAATTATTATGAAAAGTAAAACCAGTTTCAACTGATCCAGGACACTGAGGCAGCCACACCAGCACAACTACTGATACTCAGAAAAGCAGGCTTTGAGAACTGCTTCACGAGGTAACAAGAAGGATGAGACAAATGTGCTTGAAGCGAGGGAAGCCACAATAATGCGTCTTTTACCGTAATAATTTTTTTTAAAATTTAAACATTCAATGTATTTTTCACACCTCATAGCTACAATACTTGTTAAGACAATAAGCTCACCTTTTAAAGAACGGAAAATATTTAAAACAGTTCAAAAAACAAATGGAAGTTTGTCTAAACAACTGAGAGATGTTTAGGGCTAATTATCATACAGAACTTGGGCAGTACAAGGCAAACACCAATGAGCAGTTCAGAAAACACATCCTGGTACAGCAAAGGAAATGATACAGGTGGGAGCATACAAAAGAGAACCATTCTGTTTGGAAGGGAACTAAGAAACTATTTTCCAACACACAGCAAGAACTTTCTAAGAACATTTTCTCCAACTCTAGTTATTCTGTACTCACCTGTGCATGGACTTCCTGACATCTCTCCTGGTACTACCCAGGGATCCTTCTCTTGCTCCAAAAACGAAATCATGTCTGGTTTAGAAATACAAAGACCTGCATGGAAGACATCAAAGTTGGGCAGGCTACAGGTATAACCAAGTCTGAATGGTCTTAAAGAAAGAGGGGCACTGTAAGGAATATGGATACAGGGATAAAAGGCTGCTGTGCTATGGGAAGCTAGAAAGAAGAATACTATCCTTACCTACTGAGGCCAAGCTCCTATAGTTCTCCAACATCACGTTTCTATACAAACTTCTCTGAGCAAGATTCAGCCATTCCCATTCATCCTGGGAGAAGTCTATGGCCACATCTGTGAAAGTCACTGAACCCTAAGATAACACAAATATAATCATGCTCAATCAGTGTCCATATCCCCATAAGGATCAGGGTAAAGGGTTATGATGTTCTCAGTATTCAGTAAAAACCTCGTCAGTAACAGCATCAAGGGTCTAAATGATCCAAGTCAGGTAGTTACCGAACACGCATCTGCCCAGTTATGGTAGACACACTCAAAGAAATTGAGACATTCTCTGGTCTTTGCTTACGAGTCTATAGTAGGGAAAATACATCCTCACATGAAAATGGATTGAGTGGGCCGGGGAGATGGCTCAGTGGAATAAGCGCTTCCCTGGCAAGTGCAAGGGCCTGAGTTCAATCCCCGGTTCCGCCAAAAGAACAAA